AAAAATTTTGAAAACATCATGCTAAATTTAATAATCCAGCCACACACAAAAAAATACTGTATGAATCTACTTACATGGAATTGCAAATGTAGTTACATCCTTAAAAATAAAATGATGTAACAGGTCAGACAATGGGAAAAATGAGTAGTAGATTCATTTGTATAGCATATTTCTTTTACAAAAATAAGAATGTTCTAAAAGATATGTTGCTAACAATGTCAATATATTTATCAAAGCTGAACTATATAATTAAAAATATTAAAGATTACAAATTTTGCTATGCTTTTTTTTTTTCCAGATGGACTTTTGCTCTTGTTGCCCCGGCTGGAGTGCAGTGGTGCAATCTTGACTCACTGCAACTTCCACCTTTCCAGTTCAAGCAATTCTCCTGCCTCAGCCTCTGGGAGTAGCTGGGATTAGAGGTGTGCACTACCACACCCAGCTAATTGTGTATTTTTATTAGAGACAGGGTTTTGTCATGTTGATCAGGCTGGTCTGGAACTTCTGACCTCAGGTGATCCACCCGTCTCACCCTCTAAAGTGCAGGGATTAGAGGTGTGAGCCACCACGTCTGGCCCTTGTATTTTTTAAAATTGAGAATAAAACAATCATTGACTACTAAACAACAACAAAAAAAGCAAATATGCACGTCATAAAATAGGGGTAATATTTACATGGGCCAACAGGAATAATTATATTGGCAATATGTATAAGGCTGATTCATATCTGACTTCTGTCCAAACATTGTTTTAATGCACACAGAGTTGAATATTGGTATACAAAATTACAATACATAAAAACTAAAAACACAATTAATGTGAAATAGCCTACTCTAAAACACAAGCCACTGAAATATAAAAAGGTGGAACAAAATTTAACAAAAAAAAATTAACCAAAAATATTGAATCAACATAATGTACACTAAAAAGTAATTATTCTAGATAGCCATGCATTTTAACTGACTGCACATTTATAAAGAGAACAGATTTTGGCATTTTTTTTAATTTCACCTCTTCCTATAGATTCAGTGGCTACATGTCTAGGGTTGTTACGTGGGTGTATTATGTACTGCTAAGGTTTAGGGTCCTGCTACCACCACTCAGGTAGATAGCGTGGGACCCAATAGGTAGCTTTTTTGGCCTTGTCTCTTTCCTCCCTTCCTCGTCTAGCAGTCCCCAACGTCTGTTGTTTTCACCTTTATATGCATGTATACCCAAT